TTCTGGCAACCGAGTTCTAAATAGATGGAGCGACAATAGAATTCTGGGAAGAGCGATAGATAAATAAGTTTCGGAGACAGTGATAATAGATTTCCAGAGAAATTGGGAATCGAGTCCTAGAAACAGCGATAGTAAACCCAGGGGACGAGGTAATCGAGATAGATAAAATTCTAGAAATAACGACAATCGAGCTTTAAAGAGAGCAATAATTAAGGCCTAGAAACACCGATAATCAAGTTCTAGAAAGAGCGGTACTGTAGTCATTAATCAAGTCATAAAGGAAAAGGTAATCAAGTCAAAAAAATCCAAACGATAGTAATCAAGGTTAACAGAGAGCGATAGTAAACTCCTAGAAAAAGCGATAACAGAGTAGTAGAGAGAATGGTAATTGGTTCCTAGGGAGAGTACTAATAAGACCTATGCTAACAAATTGAGTCCTAGAAAGATTGACATTTGAGTCCTAAAGAGTCCAATAATCAAGTTTTAGAGAAAGCGACAATTGAATCCTCCAGAGAGAGATAATCGAGTCCTAGAACAAGCGATAACAGGTCTCAAAGAAAGCGATAATCACGCCGTACAGAGCGTGATCATAAATTCCTAGAAAGAGCGATGGTAAAATCCTAGAGAGAGCAACCCTCAAGTCCTAAAAACACCCATAGTCGCGTCGTTCTGACAACTGAGTTCCAAGTAGATGGAGCAACAATAGAATTCTGGGAAGAACGATAAATGAGTCTCGGAGACAGTCATAATAGATTTCCAGAGTAATTGGAAATCGAGTCCTAGAAAGAGCGATAGTAAACCCAGGGGACGAGGTAATCGAGATAGATAAAATTCTAGAAATAACGACAATCGAGCTTTAAAGAGAGCAATAATTAAGGCCTAGAAACACCGATAATCAAGTTCTAGAAAGAGCAGTACTGCAGTCATTAATCAAGTCATAAAGGAAAGGGTAATCAAGTCCAAAAAGTCCAAACGATAATAATCGAGGTTAACAGAAAGCGATAGTAAACTCATAGAAAAAGCGATAACCGAGTAGTAGAGAGAATGGTAATTGGTTCCTAGGGAGAGTACTAATAAGACCTATGCTAACAAATTGAGTCCTAGAAAGATTGACATTTGAGTCCTACAGAGTCCAATAATCAAGTTTTAGAGAAAGCGACAATTGAATCCTCCAGAGAGAGATAATCGAGTCCTAGAACAAGCGATAACAGGTCTCAAAGAAAGTGATAATCACGCCGTACAGAGCGTGATCATAAATTCCTAGAAAGAGCGATGGTAAAATCCTAGAGAGAGCAACCATCAAGTTCTAAAAACACCCATAGTCGCGTCGTTCTGGCAATTGAGTTCCAAGTAGATGGAGCGACAATAGAATTCTGGGAAGAACGATAAATGAGTCTCGGAGACAGTGAGAATAGATTTCCAGAAAAATTGGAAATCGAGTCCTAGAAAGAGCGATAGTAAACCCTGGGGACGAGGTAATCGAGATAGATAAAATCCTAGAAATAACAACAATCGAGCTTTAAAGAGAGCAATAATTAAGGCCTAAACGCACAGATAATCAAGCTCTAGAGAGAGCAGTACTGCAGTCATTAATCAAGTCATAAAGGAAATGGTAATCAAGTCCAAAAAGTCCAAACGATAATAATCAAGGTCAACAGAAAGCGATAACAGAGTAGTAGAGAGAATGCTAATTGGTTCCTAGGGAGAGTACTAATAAGACCTATACTAACTAATCGAGTCCTAGAAAGATTGACATTTGACTTCTACAGAGTCCAATAATAAAGTTTTATCGAAAGCGACAATTGAATCCTCCAGAGAGAGATAATCGAGTCCTAGAACAAGCGATAATAGGTCTCAATGAAAGTGATCATCATGCCGTACAGAGCGTGATCATAAATTCCTAGAAAGAGCGATGGTAAAATCCTAGAGAGAGCAACCAACAAGTCCTAAAAACACCCATAGTCGCGTCGTTTTGGCAACTGAGTTCCAAGTAGATGGAGCGACAACAGAATTCTGTGAAGAACGATAAATGAGTCTCGGAGACAGTGATAATAGATTTCCAGAGAAATTGGAAATCGAGTCCTAGAAAGAGCGATAGTAAACCCTGAGGACGAGGTAATCGAGATAGATAAAATCCTAGAAATAACGACAATCGAACTTTAAAGGGAGCAATAATTCAGGCCTAGAAACACCGATAATCAAGCTCTAGACAGAGCAGTACTGCAGTCATTAATCAAGTCATAAAGGAAACGGTAATCAAGTCCAAAAAGTCCAAACGATAATAATCGAGGTTAACAGAAAGCGATAGTAAACTCATAGAAAAAGCGATAACAGAGTAGTAGATAGAATTGTAATTGGTTCCTAGGGAGAGTACTAATAAGACCTATGCTAACAAATTGAGTCCTAGAAAGATTGACATTTGAGTCCCAAAGAGTCCAATAATCAAGTTTTAGAGAAAGCGACAATTGAATCCTCCAGAGAGAGATAATCGAGTCCTAGAACAAGCGATAACAGGTCTCAAAGAAAGTGATAATCACGCCGTACAGAGCGTGATCATAAATTCCTAGAAAGAGCGATGGTAAAATCCTAGAGAGAGCAACCATCAAGTTCTTAAAACACCCATAGTCGCGTCGTTCTGGCAACTAAGTTCCAAGTAGATGGAGCGACAATAGAAATTGGAAATCGAGTCCTAGAAAGAGCGATAGTAAACCCTGGGGACGAGGTAATCGAGATAGATAAAATCCTAGAAATAACGACAATCGAGCTTTAAAGAGAGCAATAACTAAGGCCTAGAAGCACCGATAATCAAGCTCTAGAGAGAAGTACTGCAGTCATTAATCAAGTCTTAAAGGCAGTAATAATTAAGTCCAAAAAGTCCAAACGATAAACAAAGTTAACAGAGAGCGATAGTAAACTCCTAGAAAAAGCGATAACAGAGTAGTAGAGAGAGTGGTAATCGGTTCCTAGGGAGAGTAAGATCTATAGTAACAAATCGAGTCCTAGAAAAACTGACATTTGAGTTCTACAGAGTCCAATAATAAAATTTTACCGAAAGCGACAATTGAATCCTCCAGAGAGAGATAATCGAGTCGTAGAACAAGCGATAGTAGGTCTCAAAGAAAGTGGTAATCATGGCGTACAGAGCGTGATCACAAATTCCTCGAAAGAACGATGGTAGAACCCTAGAGAGACCAACAATCAAGTCCTAAAAACAACCAGAATCGCGTCGTTGTGGTAACTGAGTTCTAAAGAGAGCGAAAACAAAATCATATTCTAGATGGAACGACAACAGAGTTTGATAATAGATTTCCAGAGAAATTGGAAATCAAGTCCCAGAAAGCGACAATAAAGTCCTAGAATAAGATAGAGAAAAAATAGTACAGTTTTACAAAAGACGATGACCAAATTCTGGACAGCAATCGCTCAGTCTTACATAGATTGAAAATCTATATAACAACGACCAGAAAATCCTAGAAACAACGACAATCAAGGTCTAAAAAGAGCAATAACGAAGTTCTAGAGAGAGTAGTAGAGGAATCACGTGCCATAGAGAACTTAACTAAGATTTAATGAAAATGATAACCACGTCCAAAAGACCGTGATTACTGAGTCCTAGAAAAACCGATAATTAAGGTCTAGCAAGTTCATAATCAAGTTCTAGAAAGAGCGATAACCAAATAGTAAAGAGAGAGAGCATTGATGACACTTATAGAGTATTTAAAAAAAGCGTAACCGAATCATATCTCTAAAGTAATAATCAAGTTCTAGAGAGATTGCCACTTGAGACCTACATAGTCCATTAATCAAGTTTTAGGTAAATATTAGATAAATTTTTCGTTACATATTACTTTTTTTTCGTCGAGACTACTACTTCATCATAAAATATTGGACAAGCTAAAAAAAATCTTATCCGAGTAAAAAAATAAACTGTAGCCAGTGATTTTTAGGTATGCATTAAATCAAATGTTATACCGATTTTCTTTTATCTATTCTTTCTGTGATTCATATCAATGACAAACGTCGAATGAAAATCGTGCTGTTACATATTGTTGCCTTATTGCCCAATAACATTACGCCATTTGGCGTACATCCAAAGAATTGCCAAGCGTTTCAGGAAACAGGTCGTCAATCTATTCGAAATGATTTCCTATGAGAATCACAAAATTATTCAACACACATAAAAAGTTTCAGCAACACAACAAAATGGCAAAGTTTCGCATTTAAAATGGCGGTTTGCTGTACTACTGTGACAATCACGTGACATTACAACCACAGACTTCTGAAAAGACGGACGCCCATTTTCCGCTCGATGAAGACATCAAGAATCGGGTAAATCGAGGAGTTGCATGTACCGTTAGCGCTAAGGACCGGCAAGGATTAATTTGTACAAGACAATAATGGCTGGGTGGGTGCTAACACAAATTAAGTTCTGGCACCGCGATCAACCACCTGAATCGGAATTAAGAAAATTTGGAATTCGTGTTGCTACCAGCACGGAAGAATTCTAATTAAACGGGAGTTTACGTTTTATTCGAAACTCGAGTTCAAAGGAATTACCATTTTATTAAACACTAAATGTCGGCTGTGGCGCTGCGGTTGAATGTTATTGTGAGTGCTTTCCACGGAGGAAGCTCGATGTTTTATGAAGAAGTTAAACTGCAGAAAATAGAGCCAATGAAATGTTTGTACACTTTAACGAGCCTTATACGTTATAACACGTTTTTTTTTTTAACATTAATTTAGTCGACTCTCCTCTAATCGCGTTTTATTTTGTTGCGGGAAAGTAATCGTCAGTCCCGATCTACTTAAAATTTAGGTCCCATTCAGCGATTATTAATGCACAGTCGATTTAAGCGAGAGGACCTGAAGTCTTCGCTATTAGTTGTCACCGTTCGCCTTTGTTCCCGATTCCTGTAATTAAGCGCGGAGGAGGAGCCAGAAGTTCGGAACTGGCAAAGTTCGGGCGAATGCATGCAAGTTCCCAATTGGGAAATACCTACGAGTCTTCTTAAAGACTATCTCGCGTCCACCCAGCGTCGTGACGACCTGCCCATCCTTGATAGTGTCTTGCTTAAGCCGCCCCTTGACGAAGTGGTTGATGATGATACTCTCGGTGAACTCGGGCACACTAAAGGGATAAAAACCCCAATCGATCGGGTGCCACCTCTGGAAAGCGTGATCTGTCGGGACGAACACGGTGTATTCTTCGCCTGGAAGAGAGAAATTGTAACATATTAAAATTATAATAGTAATTCACTAGATTTATGCAGGTGGAAGGCTTTTGCATTGAGGGAGAACCAACGCCAGAAACTAAATATATGTACTGTGGAGAAATTAACAAAGTGATAGGATGTCTCAGGATTTTGAACAACAGTATATTAGAATGTTCGCCTATTTAATAAAGATAATAGCTTAAATCCGTCAAGCAGCAAATCTTGAAAGTAACCTTTTGGTGGATACACACCGTCTGCTATCTGGCTCACTTTCTTATTTTATGAAATTGAAATAACATTTACTATGCAAAAATTTGAAATGATTTCAACAAATTAGTTAGTGGTAAGACTAGAGACATTTTGGTTAGCGTTTTACCATCTACACGATATTCATTATATACACCTAAAACTTCACAATAATCAGTTCAGTAGTTTCGGAGATTTTTCGATTTGTTGATTTTTCCAATTTTTCGATTTTTCAATCCTTCTATTTTTAAATTTCAATATTTCGATTTTCCGATTTTCCAATTTTAGATTTCTCGATTTTTCCATATTTCAATTTTTCGATTTCTCCGTTTTTCAATTGCTTGATTTTCGATTTCAAGATTTTTCGACTTTTCTTTCGATATTTCAATTTCTCTGTTTTTCAGTTTTTGATTTCCCGTTTTCGATTTGTCAGTTTTTCAATTTTTCGACTTTTCGATTTCTCCATTTCTCCATTTTTCGACTTTTAAATTTCTTGGATTTTTCATTTTTCGATTTAAAATTTTTGGATTGATTGGATTTTGTCGATTTATCAATTTATCGATTTTTAGACTTTTCGATTTTCCATTTTTAGTTTTCTTGATTTCCCGAGCTTCCGATTTGTTGATTTTTCAGTTTTTCGATTTTTCGACTTTTCAATTTATCGATTTTTCGATTTCCCGATTTCGCAATTTTTCTATTTTTCTTTCGATATTTCAATTTCTGTTTTTCAGGTTTTCGATTTTTCGACTTGTCAATTTTTGGATTTTTAGACTTTTCAATTTTCCATTTTCCCATTTGTCGAGTTTTCGACTTTTGATATCTCCATTTCTCTATTATTCGATTTTTATTTTTCGATTTTTTAATGTTTCGGTTTTAAAGTTTTTGATTGTTGATTTTCGATTTTCCAATTTTCCAATTTCTTGATTTTCGATCTGTCGATTTTTCAGTTTTTCGATTTTTCCTTTTTTCAATTTTTTGGTTTTCTTTTTTTGATTTCTCGAATTTTTGACTTTTAGATTTTTTAATATTTCGATCTTCCCATCTTTCAATTTTTTGGTTTTTCGATGTGTCAATTTTTCGAATTCTCCATTTCACGATATTTAGATTTTTTTTCTATTTTTCAATTTCTCTGTTTTTCAGTTTTTGATTTGTCGATTTTTCGATTTGTCAATTTTTCAAGTTTTCGATTTTTCGATTTTCCATTTTTTGATTTGGTGATTTTTCGACTTTTATATGTTTGAATTTTCCATTTTTCGGTTTCTTGATTTTTCGATTTGTCATTTTTTCAATTTATCAATGTCAGGGTTTTTCAATTTTTCAGTTTTTCCAATTTTAGATTTTCTATTTTTCGATCTCCGTATTTTCAAATTTCTGGGTTTTTCGATTTTGCGATTTTTCAGTTTTTTGAGTTTACTATTTCTGGGTTTTTTCATTTGTTGATTTTTCCATTTATCAATTTTTCAATTTTTCGGTTTTTAGACGTCGGTTTTCGATTTGGTGTTTTTTCAATTTTTCGATTTCGGGAATTTTCGACTTTTCTTTTGATTTTTCAATTTCTCTGTTTTTCAGCTTTTTGATTTCTCGATTTTTCAGTTTGTTAATTTTTCGATTCCTCGTTTTTTCAATCTTTCGATTTTTAAATTTTTCAATATTCCGATCTTCTAATTTTCCATGTTCTGGGTTTTTGATTTGTCAAGTTTTTGATTTTACATTTTTCGATTTTTCAGTTTTTTGAGTTTATTATTTCTGGATTTTTTCATTAGTTGATTTTTCCATTTGTCAATTTTTTAATTTCTCGGTTTTCAGACGTCAATTTTCCATTTTTTGTTTTCTCGATTTCGCATTTTTTTATTTTTCGGCCTTCCGATTTTCCAGTTTTTGATTTCTCCGGTTTTCGACTTTTAGATTTTTCAATTATCTGTTTTCCGATTTCTCGAGTTTTCTACTTTTAGATTTTTTAATTTTTCGATCTTCCCAGCTTTTTTTAATGTTTCTACTTTTCTTTCGATTTTTCAATTTCTGTTTTTTTAGTTTTTTTGATTTCCCGATTTGTCAATTTTTCAATTTTTGGATTTTTCAATTTTTCATATTTTCAATTTTTCGATTTTTCGATTTATCGATTTTTAATTTGTCGACTTTTCGATTTTCCATTTTTTCGATTTGACGATTTTTCAATTTATCGATGTTACGGTTTTCCAATTTTTCATTTTTCGATTTTTCTATTGTTATTTGATTTTCCTATTTTCCAATTTCTCCGTTTTTCAACTTCTCGATTTTTCAGTTTTTTTTTATTTTTCAAGTTTTAGATTTTTTCATTTATCAATTTTCCAATTTGTGTTTTCACCATTTCTCAATTTTTCGCCCTTTGGATTTTCCTTTTTCGATTTCTCGGTTTTTCGATTTGTTCTTTTTTCAATTTTCGAATTTTCCAATTCGGTTTTCCGATTTTTAGATTTTTCAATTTTTCGATTTTTCGACTTTTCGATCTACCGATTTTCGGTTTCTTAGTATTCAAATTTACAATTCTCCGACTTTTCAGTTTTTCGATTTCTTGGTTTTCCAATTTTTTGATTTTTTGATTTCACAAATTTTCGATTTTTCTTTTGATTCATCAATTTCTCTGTTTTTCAGTTTTTTGATTTCTCAGTTTTTTAGTTTGTCAATTTCTCGATTTCTCGTTTTTTCAATCTTTCGATTTTTGATTTGTCCATTTTTTGATTTTCCAATTTTCGATTTTTCGATCTTTCAAATTTTCGGTCTTTCGATTTTTCCATTTTTCAATTTTTTGTTGTCTCGGTTTTCCGATTTGTTGAATGTTTAGTTTTTCGAATTTTCAACTTTTCAATTTTTCGATCTTACGATTTTTCAATGCCCTGGATTTCCAATTTTTCGATTTCTCGATTTCTCAATTTTTCGACTTCTCGTTTTTCAATTTTTCGACTTAGCATGTCGAGATCTACGTCCCTGAATTTTTTCATAATTTTTGGACAACTTTTTTAAAATTGAAATTTTTTAATGGTCTTCAAATTTCACAAAAATTTTGACATTTTCGAAACTCAACTAAATACATTTTCTTGTAGATTTCGAGCTCTAGAACTCAAATCCGACTCGGTTTTTTGATACCTGCAACAGTTTTTCCAGAATCGACCGCTGAAATTTCGAAATTTTTGAAATTCTCAAAAATTCGCATTTCCCAGCGATTTTTTCGAAAATGTTGCTTCGTGATCATCAAAATGCTACATTTTTAGAATCAGCGTGTCGAGATCTACGTCCCTGAATTTTTTCATAATTTTTGTACAACTTTTTTAAAATTGAATTTTTTTAATGGTCTTCCCTTTTTCAAATTTCGCAAAAATTTTGACATTTTCGAAACTCAACTAAATACATTTTCTTGCAGATTCAGCTCTAGAACTCAAATCCGGCTTCGGTTTTTTGATACTTGCAACCGTTATTCCAGAATCGACCGTTGAAATTTCGAAATTTTTGAAATTTTCAGAAATTCGCATTTCGCGGCGATTTTGTCGAAAATGTTGCTTCGTGACCATCAACATGCTATTTTTTTGGAATCAGCGTGTCGAGATCTACGTCTCTGAATTTTTTCATAATTTTTGGACAACTTTTTTAAAATTGAAATTTTTTAATGGTCTTCAAATTTCGCAAAAATTTTGACATTTTCGAAACTCAACTAAATACATTTTCGGCCGATTCCCCTCATTGCCAAACACTTTCCTCCCGCGCACTCTAAATCAAGAAAAAAAAATACGAACCGTCCTCGAGAAGCTTCGACACGTTGGACCTCGACAGGAAGTGCTGGAAGACCCGGACTCCGCTCTTGAGGAACGACAGCACCTCCATGACGTTCTCCACGAAGGTGGTGTTGGACTGGTTCTTGGCGTCCTCGCTGGGGGCGAAGTTGGCGATGTCCACGAGCTTGCCCTGCGTGGGGCTCTTCTTCGCGACCTGCTCCTCCGGGAACAGGTAGTTGTCCAGGACCACCAGCAGCCCGTTCGGCACCTCCACCTTGCGCTCGACGATGTTGGCGTCGTTCGCCTTCAGCTTGCCGTCCTTTATGTGGCGGACGTGAACCGTCCGCCCTCCGAGCGTTTTAAACGAGGCGTCGTCGGTCACATTTGTCAGATCTATGCGCGAACCGAGCACCACATGGTCCAGAAGGAGCTGCTTTACGAGCTCGGGCTGCTGCAGGAGGTTTTCGGCGCGTTTGGTCGCTGAGTTCTGCGGCGCGAGTATCGTAAAGGGCTCGCCTGGAACAAAAAGGGAGGTTTATGGAGGGTTCTAAGTGTTTTATTTCTATCGTTATAAAAGAAAATATTGTCTATTTAATAACGCAAAGGTTCACCGTTTACGTCTGTCTGTCTGTCTGTCTGTCTTTTGCTGTATTAATCAGACCACTCCTCTCTTATAGCTATTAGACTGAGTTAAAGAATTTTTTCTACAGTCTACAGCGAATGCTTAATTTTCCGCCCTTTGACCGTTAGAACACCCTGTATGAATCTATTGTACACGAGTATTTTGACAGAAATGGTGATGAAAAAATTTTAATTCTGTGTTGTATCATTAACTGTCGAAAAAATAAAATATTTTTGAACGACATATTTAACCCGAGTTTTCTAATTTGTTTTTGGCGAATTCTATGTATGTAAAATGCGTAATTTCTTATTCATCCACACAGCGCAAAAATTATGTTCTGCTAATAAATAATGTTGCTGTATTTTAGTAGTAATTAAGATTCATTTTCCTGTGCCACGCATCGGTGAATAAAAACTCTGCAAAAAATATCTGATAAGGGATCGACGAGAGTTTTTTGTTCCCTTTTCGTGTTGCGTAAAGGAGTGCTGTTGGTTTTAAACTTCGTCGAGGTCGTGTGCGGTCTGTAAATTAGTGTCTTTAAAGTGTTATTTTTGTTAAAAATAATTTGGTTTCGGGCTTAAAATGAAAGGTGAGTGTTGTGATGTGCCCATGAGGAAGGAGGCTGCAAGGATCGACGCGGAAGGAAAGGAAATCGGGATTTAAAGGGTAAGTCGGTCTATTATTCAATGTACTGTGTCTTATTTCTTCAGTTCTTTTCATCTAAATTCTTTAGAACTGCCCTTTTCGGCTAAAATAATTTGGAATATCTAATAGGTTTTCATCAGTGTTAATTATGTAAAAATTAAATCCAATTTTGATTTTTATATATATCATTACGGATTGCCTTTTATGTTTTACACTTCACTGAAATAATTAATAATAAGTATTATGTGTTTGTTAGTGAATTTTTAGGTAAATATTCTCTGAATTTCTTTTTTTTGTGTATTTTGAGTGTGTTATATAGATTTTTTGTGTTTATCTTCATCAAGGATCGCGTGATGTAAATGTAAAATTTTGCTTAGAATATACATTATGTTGTGATTTCAAAACTTTTTTTGGTTGGAGTTTTTTAAATCTTATCTACTTATTAAACCTGTGTTATGTTGAATTGCACCGTTATTAAAAATTAGTACATATAAAGTTAATGTTAACTTCTATGGTATTTTTGTTTGTGTACACAAAAATTTCATGTGTTTTTTGTTGCAGTGGGTTCGTAAATGAAGCTGAGGGAATTCGCTAAATTGTTGCAGAAGAAGAAGCCTAAAGGTTAGAATTTTGCATTAATTTTAAATTGGGTGTTTTTTTTTGAGTGCGGAATGCAAGAAAATTGTTCATATCTTTCAAAAATTTGGTGACGTCATCTCAAAATTTCGTGAAGTTAATCTCGCCTGAAATTTTCGTATTTTTTTGAAGTTGTGTACAGTATTTATCCGTTCTAAAAATTGATGACGTCATCAGGACAATTTCATTAAAAGAATGTCACTCAAAACCTGTTGTACTTCTACGAATTATGGTAGAGGAAAGCGGGAAAACTGCATTTTCGTATTATACGGCCCGTGAAACACGCAGATATCCTTACATTATACGTTCGCCTAAATGCCCACCCAAATGCTTCCTCCAGCGACTATCTCCGTAAAAGAGAAGGAATTTTTCGATTTTTAGACTTTTCAATTTTTCATTATTTCGATTTTTCGATTTTCGAATTTTTTTATTTCTGGGTTTTTCGATTTACTGATTTTTTATTTCTTCGGCTTGTCGATTATTCGATTTTTCAATTTTTAGGTTTTTCGATTTGTCGATTTTTTTTTTGTTATTGGATTTTAGGAATTTCTATTTTTTGAGTTTTAATTTTTTCTCGATTTGCAGATGTACCAATTTTCGAATTTCTCGATTTTTCAATTTTTTCAATTATTCGGTTTTTCAATTTGTCGATTTTTTTATTAATCGATTTTTGGAATTTTCTATTTTTTAAGTTTCTGTTTTTTTTTCAATTTGCAGATGTTCCAATTTTCCAATTGCTCGATTTATGGATTTTTCGATTTTCCATTTTTGACTTATCGATTTTTCAGTGATTCAATTTCTCGGTTTTTTGACTTTTAATTCTCGGTTTTTTAACTTTTCGACCATTTAATTTTTCCATTTCTTGATTTATCCATTTTAGACTTATCGATTTTTCAGTTTTTCGATTTTTCCACTTTTCAATTTTTCGATTTTCGGATTTCTCAATTTTTCAATTCTTCGAGTTTTCGCCTTTTCGATTTTTGGATTTAACATTTCGAATTCTCGATTTTTTAACTTATCAATTTTTCGTTCTGTTGATTTCTTTTCGATATTGTGACTTTTCTAGTTTTCGATTTTCCAATTTCTCAGTTTTTCGATTCGAATTTTTAAGTTTATTTTTCCATTTTCTTACTTTTGCATTTTCCTTTTCGATTTCTCGATGTTTCGATTTTCCGATTTTTCGATTTTATAATTTTTCGTTTTTTCAACTTTTCGATATTTCGTTTTTTCAGTTTCTCGGTTTTTCAATTCTTCGATTTTTGGCCTTTTCGATTTTTAGATTTAACATTTTGAATTCTCGATTTTTAAAGTTTTCAGTTTTTCGTTTTGTAGTTTTTTTTTTTTAATATTTCGACTTTTCTAGTTTTTGATTTTTCAATTTCTGTTTTTCGATTCGATTTGTTAATATTTTTATTTTTCGACTTCTTGGTTTTCATTTTGGCTATTTTTTAATTTTTGGATACATCGACTTTTATATTTTCCGATTGTTCATTCTCTCGATTTGTAGATTTTTTAATTTTTCGTTTTTTTGACTTTTCAATTTTTTGATTTTCAGATTTCTCGACTTTTTGACATTTAGAATTTTTGATTTCTCGATTTTTCGACTTTTAAATTTCTCGATTTTTCAATTCTTCAATGTCTTGACATTTTGATTTGTCTATTTTTCGATTTTTCACCTTTTCGATTATTGGATTTAACATTTCGATTTCTCGACTTTTTGATTTGTCGGTTTATCGATTTGCCGATTTTTAAAATTTTTCATTTTATTGATATTTTTCGATATTTTTACTTTTTTAGTTCTAGATTTTTCAATTTCTGTGTTTTTCGGTTTGATTTTTTAATTTTTCGATTTTTAGACTTTCCAACTTTTGGATTTTCCATTTTTCGAGTTCTCGACTTCCCGGTTTTCCAATTTTTTAATTTCTGGGTTTCTCCTTTTGGTGATTTTTTAATTTTTCAACTTGTCGATTTGTCAATTTTACGATATTTCGACTTTTATATTTTTTGATTGATCGTTGTCTCGGTTTTTCGATTTGTCGATTGTATAATTTTTCAATTTATCGACTTTTCTACTTTTGGATTTTTCATTTCTCTAATTCTCGATTTTTCAATTTCTCGAATTTTCAGTTCTTCCATGTATCGACTTTTCGATTTTTCCATTTTTCGGTTTTTTGATTTTATATTTCGATTCCTCGATTTTTCAGTTTTTCGATTTCTTTATTTTTCGATATCCCCATTTTTTGACGTTCCGGTGTCATGATTTTCGGATTTGTCGGTTTATCGATGTGCCGATTTTTTAGTTTTTCGATTTTTCGATTTCATTTTTTTACTTCTCAACTTTCGCATTTTCCAATTTTTCAATTTCCCAGTCTTTCGATTAGGCGATTTTTCCCTTTTTCAATTTTTCGATTGGTCGATTTGTCAATTTTTCGATTTGTTGATTTATAAATTTCTTGATTTTTCGATTTTTCTGTTTTGAGTTTTCCATTTTTGGATATCTCGATTTTTCAGTCTTTCGATTTTTCCGTTTTTAGATTTTTCGACTTTTCAATTTTTGGATCTTGGTTTTTCAACTTTCAGATTTCTCGATTTTTTTGAGTTTTCAAATTTTTATGTTTAGGTTTTTCGATTTTTCGATTTTTGGACTTGACATTTCAAATTCTCGACTTTTCAATTTCTCGGTTTTTCGATTTGAATTTTTAATTTTTGATTTTTCGACTTGTCGATTCTTTTTTTCATTTTTTCGACTTTTTGTTGGTATTTCAATTTTTCGATGTTTCGACTTTTCCATTTTTTGAGTTCTCAAATTTCCCATTTTCCAATTTTTCAATTTTCTGGTGTTTCGATTAGGCGATTTTTCCCTTTTTTAATTTTTCCATTGTCCATTTTCTCCGTTTTTCGATTTTTCAATTTTCTGATTTTTCGACTTTTCTATTTTGAATTTTCCATTTTCCGATATCTCGATTTTTCAATTTTTTGATTTTTGCGTTTTTCGGTTTTTCTACTTTTCAATTTTTGGATGTCGGTTTTTCAACTTTTAGATTTCTCGATTGTTTGACTTTTCGATTTTTGGATTTTTAGCTTTTTCGACTTTTTTTCCTCAGAATTTTCAATTTCGCGATTTTTCAGTTTTCATTTGTCGATTTTTTAATCTTTTGATTTTTCAATTTCCCAATTTATCGGTTTTTTGGGTATTCCGTTTTCCAATTTCTGGATTTTTTGAGTTTTTCCGAATTTTTGACTTTTCGATCTTCCTATGTTTCGACTTTTCGATATTCCGATTCTCCATTTTTCGATTTCTCGAGTTTTCGACTTTTAGATTTTTCGATTTTCCAATCAAATAATCTTTCTTTTTTTTTCGATTTGTCGATTTTTTAATTTTTCATTTTTTTGACTTTTCAATTTTTCGATTTTCAGATTTCTGGATTTTTTGACATTTAGAATTTTTGATTTCTCGATTTTTCGACTTTTAAATTTCTCGATTTTTCAATTCTTCGATGTCTTGACATTTTGATTTTTCTATTTTTCGCTTTTTCACCTTTTCGATTATTGGATTTAACATTTCGATTTCTCTATTTTTTGATTTGTCGGTTTATCGATTTGCCATTTTAAA